AATGGAATTAGGGGTGTAAGAGAGAAGGTTATGTTTGAAAATCTCTATCTCTGAACCCTAGTTGCCGCCACCTTCTTCTTCTTCTCTCTTCTTGAAACCTGATTTCTGCTACTTTCTTTTGATTTTCTGCAACTTTTTAAACAGTCCTTTCTTTTCAAAAGGCTTGTTTTTCTTCTTTTCCCTAGTAAGGATGTTGCTTGGCAATATAAAATTCAAGATTCAGTCCAGCCAAGAACTCAAAGACCTTTTTCTTCTCCACCAACTTCTGATAGGTTGTTGCATATTTCATACTCTCCCAAACCACAATCTCTAAGTGATCTATCTCCTACCAAAGTGTTTTCAGCATGGAGAAGTACATAGCAAGTGGTCCATCTCCCTGTTTTGTATAATTAAGTTGATTCCTTAATAGATAGGCTCTAGCGACATTCTATTTCTGGGAATAGGTCTTAGTTACTCCATCCCAAATCTTCTTTGCAGTATTAGGCCACAAAAAAATCTTTTGCCAATGTGAGGTGACATAGAATTACACATCCAGGACATAACCATGTAGTTCTCCTATAACTATCAGGAGGAATTTGTATCAGGTTTCTTCTCCTCCCAGTGATGTGCCTCAGTTTCCCAGGAGCACCAATGGCCATTTTGGATGATTGTGCCCATTCTAAATAATTTGCACCATCCTATTTTACTGTGGTAATAATTCCAGTCCTAAAAGAATCACTAGTACCTACTACATCCTGACCCATTTCACCAATGGACTTTTGCTCAGTACTTCAACTCTCCATTTCAACTTCAAACAATTCAAAAACAAAAAATAACTAGGTAGAAAGCATCCAAGATCAAATCGATCTCACACACAAGGGTAATTGACCTTTCCGAAAGAAGAAAAACCTATTTGGGGAGAAATCTCTCTTCTCCCAGCTTCTCTCACCATAAAGAAAAGTGAATCAATCACTCCAGAAGGCTCAAAAATTGCCAGAAACCAAACCACACCCTATATAAAACCTAGAGAAGTCCAAAGGGTCCAAGCACCCAATATCAGATAAAACATGAAGTGTCCAACTTGACTAGGACTCTTCCCCACATTTAGTTCTTCCTAATTTTGATGCCAAAGCATAGATCACTCTCTTTATGACTGAAATCCACCAAAAAATCCAAGAACTGGAGTATTTGGATTGCCACTATACCTATGGAGTGAGGTGGTGCTGAGATGTATAAGAGATCTTTGTGGGGGATTCTTCGTGTTTGACCCAATAATGGACAGGATGAATTGACAAAACAGGTGTGGATGAAGGTTCACTGGAAAGGCTTCTTGCCTCAAATGGCCAACAAATTTGTTGGCAACAGAATGTTCATGGTGACCATTTACCTAGACATCAAGCTAGAGATGACAAAGATGTCATTGGATTTAAATGATGCTGTACCAATGAACAAGGCTTTAGTTTGGTGGTATCTCTAAGGGGAAAACACTGAGGAGGTAACAAGGAAACAAGAGTTGAGATATCCCTTGGAGAACCAATCCTTGGGGAGGAGAGGTGATAGTCTAAAAATGGAAGTGGTAAGAGTTCAATAGTCAGGAACCAAATGGCATTGGGGAAGATGACCTTGTTGATTGAATAGCCATGAGGGTGCAAGGAGATATATGAAGCTAACAAAACATGACTGAGAGGTTGAGAGGGAAAGATACTTGAACCCTTGCATGATAAATATAAAGGTTAGCCACATCATAAAAGTTTTCATGGACTCAATAGGAGGGAAAATCCAAATTTGAAAAACACATGGACTTAAATGGATCAAATCATTTAGAGGATTTTCTTTGGTAATCAATAAGAAAAGAAAATTTATTTATGTAAAAAAAGTACTTTTGGAAGTGATGAGGTATCACTAGAAGACAACACTACAAAGGAAAGCATAAAAGAAGAGAAATCATAAAAAGAGAAAAACATAGATCATACAAGAAGCATAGATCAGACAAAAACAAAGGGAAAACAAGCAATCATGCCAACTGCAAGGTGTTCCAAATTCTAGCACCAAGATCCTCCTTTGTAATTCCTTCAAACTCTGGGAGAATTAGAATCTAGTCCATGATTCGTTTGCGACATAGAAGTGTTATATGTTCCCTTGATCGAACTTTCCCATAAAAAAAATTTCTATTCCTTTCTTTCCAAAGTTACTAGCAAACTACAGGAGTGAAACTCCAAGTGATCTTTTCCTTGTCATTTCTAGCTATCTTGGGCAATGTAGAGAATATTTCCTCTACCGAATTGGGAGACCACCCACCAGCTTTGACTAGCCTGAAGAAAAAGCCCCGAATGAACTTGGAGAAAAGGCACTCAAACAGCAAATGAAAAACATTCTCCTCAGCATTCTCACAAAGGTATCATCTGCTAGCTAAGTGAAAACCTCTATCTTGAAGATGATTCAAAGTCAAAATACTACTCAAAGCCACTAGCCAAGCAAAAACTTCCACCCTTGGAGGAATAGGGTTTCCCCAAATGCCTTTCAGCCTCGAAACATCTCCGCTAGACCTTGAGAGGGACTAATAGAAGGATTTGACTGAGAATAAACCATTTCTAGATTCTTTCCACCATCTTGAATCTTTTCTTTCCACATGAGGATCAACTTATTATAACTTTGCCAGAAGATCTACACTCTTGAATTTCCCAATCAAATAGAGACCTCCTAAATTTTGGGCACCAAACTGCTCTACCTTGATTAATCTCAAAATTCTCTACAATGGAGTTATTCTTCATACCCAACCTATACAGGTGGGGGCAATGATCACATAGCTTTCCAATACCTAATCAATCATCTTCCCAGAATTTAATTATTGATCCATCACCAACTCTAAAGGGAACAAGTTAAGGAAGGCTGACTGGAAACTTATAATTCCTTTCCACACACTTACCCCATAAGATGTCTTCACTTCTTTAGGGTCCCACCTGAAACCAATAACTCCATATTTGCAAGCCACCATCCTTCTCCCGAGTGCCTCCCTCTCCATAACCATTTTCCTAAAAGGGCTTTATTAAAAAACTTCAATTTCCTTATCCCTAATCCCCCATCTTTTTTTCCTTGCATACTTTATCCCCCTTAATTAAGTGAAATTTCTTCTCCATCCCTTCAACTCCCCACACAAACTCCTGCAATTTTTCAATTGAATTTATCACATTAGAGGGGGCCTTTAAAAGTGAGAGGTAATAAACCGGTAGGTTGGACAGAACACTCTTAATAAGAGTAATCCTTCCACCAAAAGAGAGGTACCTCCCCTTCCATCCTGCTAGTTTTTGATCAATGCTATCAAGAACTACCAAGTAGATGATGTCAAAGCTTTTGCTCCTATGGGGAGACCCAAATAAGTAAAAGGGAACTCCCCCACTAAGCAACCCAAAACTGAAGAACAACCCTCCAACAAGGCATCTGGGGTATCACCCACCCCAATCATTACACTCTTCTTTAGATTGATCCTTTGACCTGCAAGCATTTCATAAAATTTAAGAATCACTCTTAAATTCAGTTTGGATTGAGTGATAAAATGACTCTCGTTTAGAGGATTCTGGATAGATAGGGTGGAAGAAAAGGGAATTGAGTCATAAAATGACTATACCATCAGTAAGGAAGGGTGATATGCAGAACCGACCTGAACCAGCAATCCTAGCCGCTCAGTTTGGACTAGAGGCACCAAACTAGGGGTGCAAATGGATTGGATCACCAAGAGGCTGAAGTCCTAGACACTACTTTATTACAAGGTGAATAAATATCAAGAAGCTCCATTGGCGACAAGAGAAATCTGTGATGCAAAATTCGAGAGGCTGGGAGATTATGACTGTCCAAGGGGAAGGATATAGCAGGTTTGACAAAGCTGGAAAGGAATATATTTAAAACCTTGTATTTCACTAATACAATTGCTCCATGCAGTTAGCCCCATACAAAAGCATTAAAGTATAACCAATACAAGCACCACTCAATTCTCATTTCATGAATAAAGGAATGCCATTAGCATTTTAAAAATTCCATCATTTAGTGACCCGCGCAGTTATATAAAACCAGGAGCAGTTTACCAGTCCTCTGGTTAAACTGGCCAGTCAGCCGGTTTTGACTGGTTTTACATGAGTTCCAGTTCTTAGGGTATGATTGAACTGGTTAGGGACCTGGGTCACAATTCAACTGGTCCAACTGCTGGTCCTGTCTGCTTTCCTAAACACTGATTGTAACTGTTAAGTTTTTTGGTTCAATTAACAAAGATTTAAAGTTATTTTCTCCGTAGTTGACAGCTATAGAGAGTACAATTTATCTGCCCTTGTTCTTCCATAGATTTTGGTGAGGGAATCTTGTCTTCTACTAGATTGTTGTTTTGAGGATTTTTTTTTCTTATTTTTCATTAAAGAGGATACATTAACTCATAATTATTGATATTTTAGTGTGTTTGTTGATTGAGGCAAGCCCCTAGACCCTAACTTGAGTATCCTCCAATTTAGTTTAGAGTCCTCCCTCCCTTCTCTTGGTGAGTGAATCTTAGTCTTCAATTTTTCATTCAAAAACAGCTATAATAGACCCAATCCCCTCCCACCCTATTTCTCTCCAAACCATACCTCCTCTATTCCCTCTCTCATTTTCTTGTTTTTGCCAAGAAGGCAGACCAAGGGAAAAGTAATCCTGTGAGTTCCTTCCCTCCCTCCCTCATGTTTATGTTGTGAATCTCTATAATACAATTTAATATAATTCACTTAATATAACTTTTTCATTACCATAAGTGAAAAAAGTTATATAACTTGCCCCCACCCAAAAAAAAAACAAAAGAAAATTCCTGGCTCCATCACTGTATTTTTATTCTTTTCTTTGTTTTTTATGTCAGTTTAATTCCAAAAGAATTCAATATTCCTTGTTTGTTCATCTTCTTATGTTTTTCCAAAACAACATTTCTCAGCACATTGTTCTCAGAGTTATCTTCTCTACTTATATTTCCAAAAGCTAGACCTTAAGATGTAACTGGGATCTTGCAGTTAACAAAGAAGATTTGATTCCACCTGTGCCTGTTCTTACACGGTACAAGAAAGAAGTTGGAATTAAGGCTTTTGTAAAGAAGGAAATATTTGATCCTAGATTGCTTGATGAGAGAAGGTCTACTGAGATTAATGTGACGACAACACCAAAACTTTGTGTTCAATTAAATACTCTTCATGTGAGTTCACTTTTTCACTTTATCTTATATATATTCCATTTAATTTTGTTATCTTCAAGAAATTGGAAATATTGCATCCTTGTCATTTATGTGATGCTTTTGTCACTTTGAAGTCCACCAAGCCTTTTACTAGCTCATTTTACTATGAAACAATCCATGTCTGAAAACTCAATTTGGAACTGATGCACTGGAATGGTGGTATATTTGTGAAACTTGGGAGCATCCACTAGTTCATATGTAATGTTTTTCTCAGTTGTTATCTTTAATCTCTCTCAGATTTTATAATAAAATTTTGGTTTATAAAATAGGTTGTATGTATGACCTGCACTATGTATTTCCTCGCATGTATTTACCAAAAAATCTAGGAAACTGATGCAAGCAAGGTAAAAATTGAATGATTCTTTTTTGGTATATCAATGTTGGTTTTATGTGTTATGTTAATATTTTGAATTTTAAGCATTCATTTGAACTGTGATTGTCCCATGGAATTTGCAATTAAACACTGCTTGTATACCAAATAGGGCACTCTTAATTTCTCAAACCATAACTGAAGGGACATGTGGATAGAAGATCATCTATAGCATCAGTTTAAAGTGACTTATTGCAAGCTAGGGGTCAGGAAGAACTATAGGCAGGCCTAGAGGACATGGGTTGAACTGAAGTAGTAAGAATTGATTTTAGGGCCAATCTATCAAAAATATTGATTTTAGGGTCCATATTTTTATAATGGATATGGCACTGAAAAGAGTTGAATGGCAGGATAGGATTCATGTGGATGACCTCATATAGTTGACACAAGACCTTTTTGAGTTGAGTTGAATGAAGGGAGATTCTTCTGATTTCTAGAAGTACATCATATGATGGATTTTTGGTGGAAGACTAGTAGTTAAGGTGCAATTTTTGGAGTATTATGACATTAATATTAAATCTTCAATCAATAAGGATCATTTAAAGATCAAAGATGCATAAGCACCCATGTACACCAAGGCAATGTACAATGGAAATGTGCAAAAAGAAACATACATGAGATTGTGCAAAAATATTATTCACACTAAAGAGTGAATCCAAAGGAACCCCCCTGAACTTGCTATTAACTGAAACCATGAACACAAAGTACATCTGACCTTCCTTAGAAGCTTATCCTCAGAGTTGACGTTGTTTTCAAAGGTCTATGCACTCCTCGCACCCCATATTGTTCAAATCATGGCTAAGGGGATAGTCCCCCAGATGATTCTGCTTCTTTCATTTAATCCTCTTAGGAACCTGTTGACATAATGGACTTGTAATTAGTTATAGGTGTTTGGGTTATCTTTTGTTTTCTTTAGTGGACCTTCATTCTTATTGGGTTTTAGGCCTTTATTTTTAGCTTTTTATTGCTGCCACTCCGCCAGGGTATCTATGTAAGTTTCCCATTATTTTAGCAGTTATTATATAAGATAGTGGACAACACAGAAGCTTCCTTGATTCTGCCTTCTCTTTTCTCTGTTTAGTGCTACTTTATTTTTCAGTTTATTGCTGATTTTAGATCATATTATTGAAAGCTGGTTTGACAAGTTAACCAAGCATGTATAAAAGCTTCCACTGATGCTGGATGCTCCCACAGTTTAGAGTATGTTTTGCTGGGCAGAAAATGATGATTCAAAGATTCTGTGACTTCTAAGCAGAGAACGCAATTGTCATGTTCCAGCATCATACACCCTTCTGATCAGTTTATCTTACTAAGAACTTCTCTGAGGCTGCTATCCAGGCTAGAGAAATCACTTGAAGATTGGCTATTAATAAAAGGAATTCAATCTTTGTGCTGGGGAAAAGGGGTTGTTGTAGAAGAGTTCAAACTTGTATAGAAAGAGAAGACTTAGAAAACACTGATTTCTCCCATAAGTCCACTATATTGTTTTATATGTTATATTGGTTTGCTTTGATAGATTGGATCTGCTGCAGCTGTTTTACAGGGAAGAGAATGGGAAGAGAGAAAAAATAATTTGAAAGAAAAGTGAGAAACCTACCCCCAAATTGAATACAAAATTGATTTGTTCTCAACATTCCTCCTCAAGCTAAGATTGCTTCAAATAATGCCCAGCTTGCTAAGATTGCCTTCAAAACACTGCTTTGCAACTCCTTTAGGGAACAAATCATCCAAGTGTTGGTTTGGTTTTACAAATCGTAAGCTGACCTCCTCACAAGTGACCTATGGAATAAAATGTCAACCCACAATAGGTCTAGTTTTGTCCTGTTGTACCTTTTTTTACATAGAGTATATGCCTATAAGATGTTGCCTAGAAAGTCAATAGAGGAAGCACTAGTAGGAATAATAACAAGGTCAAGGAAAAGAACAGGGAAAGGAAAAGAGAAGGGGCGACTCTCTTCACTGAAACTCTCTAGATTATGAAAGACATGAGAAGGAAAGGAGATAGACATAAAAAAGGTAACTCCTTGGAAAAAACTAATGTTGCATGGATTCTGCTAAATGGATGACATGTCCACGTCAGACACATTTTGGATTCTGAAAGTTCATGGATTCTTGAGGACACTTTCTGTAGAATTTCCTTTTTAAACGCTAGCTTATTTGACAGAAATAAACAGCTAATGCACAAGATAAATGCTACTTTTCGTATTAAATGTTACTTAGGCTCAGTTTGGAAGGAGTATAAATACAAATATGTATAGTGCAAAACCTTGTATTTTGTATTATTTTATATCTATTTGTTCTGTACCTATTTGTATTTGTACTCTTTCCAAGCTGAGCCTTAATAACAGAGGCAAAATTTACTTTCATTCTTAGTAATTATTTAATGTTAGAATTCTAAAACATGTCTGCAACCTCTTTACATACACTGGCCAAAACTTTTGGTCAAGGGCACTGCCCCAACTCCCGCATGGACTTAGTTTCATCATGCCTCAAGGGGCCACTACAAAGGTGGAGGGCTGATCTCCTAGGATTATGAGTACAAGATATTTTGCATCAGAATAGCTACTTGAAGTAATTGTAATCTATCAAAGAAAACCAAGAAAAGAGAAGAAGAAAAGTCAGAAATTAGAAGAATAATGTCTCATATCAGAGGCAGCCATATCTACCCTTTTATATTAGAAAATAATGAATATTACAGAGAGTTCCCTGTGAAAAAGAAAATTACAGGAACCCCCTACAAATTTCAACCCTTTTCACTCTTTCACAAATGAAGTGTCTATCGAACTCAATGTGTTTGGTTCGCTCATGGAGAACAGTATAATGACATAGGATCTGAATCCCACTCACTCAACTCAGAAAAAAAAGATTTTTCAACCACAACAGTTCAGAAATTCCCTGGGACATAGCCCTATACTCAGCTTCTGCACTTGACTTCGCTATTGTATACTGTTTCTTACTCCTCCAAGAGACCTAATTTCCTCCTACAAAAGTGCAATAACACTTGAAAGAAGAACCGTTTACTGTATTACAGGTTTGAAGAGAAGAAGAGAGAGAGAGAGAGAGAGAAGAGAGGAGAAAAGAAAGAAGGGGTTCAGTAGTGAATGATCTGCTGCCCCATACACTCCTTTATTTATAGCTCTTAGGATCCTTACAAGAATTGGAAATAAACAAAAATTAGAAACAATAAGGCCAGCCTGCCCAACTTAACAGAAATTAGAAACTTTTAATAACATAAATTAGAAACTATTAAAAGAAATTAGAAACTACTAATAAAAGAAATTAGAAACTACTAATAAAAGAAATTAGAAACAACTAGGTGTGGGTATGAAACCACACACACTAGAGCCTGAGTGTGGGTATGGAACCCCACATTTGTGGCTAACCAACTATTTCTTCAATAACCAGTGGTAGACCATCTATCATCGATAGGATCGGCCCAGTCAGCATTAGTATAGCCTTCCACCTTGGTATGGCCATGTTTAAGTGAGGCTCCATTCAACCTAAAAGCTTAAGCTGTTAGGTGAGGTCCCCGAATAAGCTTTATTCTCTAACATGCCCCCTCACATGAAAGCTCATTGGGCTTGAAGCATGAACAAGCACAGGCCCACCCATACCTTGTGCTAAAATTTAATTAATTATAATGGGGGCAATGAGTATCAAACACTAGACCACTTGGTCAAACAGGCTTTGTTACCACGTAGTCTATCAAGGAAAAACAAAGAGAAAGAGAGGAACGAAGTCAATAGAAGGGGAAAAGTCAGAAATTAGAAGAATAATCTATCATATCAGAGGCGGCCACCTCGGACCCTTTTATATTAGAAAACAATGAATATTACAGAGAAGTCCCTGGGAATAATAAAATTACAGGAAACCCCCTGTTCCTGAAACATACAAAAAACCACCCCTTACAATAGTAATGAAAGTGGAAGATAAATAAATAGACTGAAAGTTTCTCATGCTTGATTGTTGAGTGTTTGAACTTTGAAGCTCTTTCGTAGGAACTACATGCTTTCTCTTTTACCTCCACATTTTTGCTTTGAAAATGTTCTATATGTTATTCTTATCCATTTTAGTTTGGGAAAATGTGAGAAGGCACACACTTCACCTTTCGCCTTGCTCTTTTGGGTGCTAGAAAGCACTTGCACCTTGTACTTTTTAAACACTGAAATAGACAAAAGGTTAGTAGCAAGCTGAGGAACATGGAGGACTGAGTTGAGAGATTCCATCACTTTTAAAAAACAACATATAACTCCATAAAGAGTATCAGTCCAAGAAAGCACACTCACTGTTTCAACTTTTTAGTTTCTATGGAGGAATAGTCTCCTGCTTAGGGCTCAAGCCCATGGCAATATCTAGTTTACTCAACCAGATCTAGTTTACTCAAGCTAAATAAAATATATAGTGGAGGAGACCCTGAAGATAGAGGTGAAGAGATTTGGTGCTGAAAAACTGCTCGAGAAGTGAAGAGTTTTTTTTTCCTCTTAGAGGATTGTGATCATGAGAAAGGTAACTCTGAAGATTAAAGAAGCAAATATGTCAATGGTGATGTTGGTGGGTAGTGAAGCAACATAGTGGTTCAAAATTTTGTAGA